TGGAGATGACACTGAGGCTGCCTGCACCGGTGAGCACATGCCATGGCAGCCTAGAGAGCAGAGGGATGGGTGTGTGCAGGGAATGCCACCTGCTCTGCATTGCACGCTCAGGGCAGTGACAAGGAACCCCTTTGGGGCAGAGGGGCTGGAAAGCAGAAAGAAAGTCTGTCCCAACAGACCTTTCACTCTGAGTCCTCTGGGGAGCTTTCACCGCTAATCCTGAGAGTTCCTTATTGTTCATGCAGTTGATAGGAGCACAAGAGCTCCCCTCGAGGTAGGTCTGGAAGACCCCAACATGTGGGGTACTCTGGGTCACTGCAGCCCTTGAGCAGCCACCAAAAGACCATGCCTTGGGAGACAGCAAATGCAGGAGAGTGCAGACAAGCACCAGGTGATCCACCACTGGGAATACAAGGTGGGGAAATATCCTTCATGGCAGCAGAACATTGAGGATGTGAGCTCTGTTATCCCTTGAGTGCCTGAGTCTGTGGCACCCAGTCCACTGAAGTCCACACTGGGTGACTCAGGTTTGCCTGCAGCTCAGGGATTTTCCCAGCTCTTCCACACCATGATGACACCCACTCTGGTGCTCTGGAAGAGTGATCCAGTGTCCCTTTGAAATGTAAAATGCATGGAATGGGAATCCCCATCCCAGACCCAGAAAGAACAGCCATGGGCTCCCTGCCCTCAGCCTTTCCCCCAAAGCCACCAGCCAGGTCTCTGGCCTCTGGGATGAGCAGGCTGAGTAAAGCAGGTCAGTGTGGCTCTGGGTCTGTTTCAGGGAAGGCTGCAGCATCTCTTTGATCACAAAACCAGGCCATGGTACGGCCTGTGACTAGGCCTGTGACTATAAACAAGCCCCCCATGGCTGTCACTCAGGCCTGCAGGGGACATCCTTTCAGCTGAACATGGACTTGCCTTGCCACTGAGCTTTGCCACTCCCTGCACACTTGGGTCCCTTCCCCACTATGGCGTTGTGCAGTGTTGACTTGGTGCCTCAAGTGACCCACAGTCTTCTGCAGGTCTCTGATGACCCACGGCAGAAGTGACTACCCAGGCAAGGGGCTGCAGTGGCAAGGAGAAAGGACAGGTGACACACCCAGGGCAGAGCAATGACTGAGTTCCAGTTCCTGTGAGGAACAGGCTCAATCACTGCCTACGGTGCAGAGCAAGGAGGGCAGAACCCTCTCTGGGAACTCTTCCCTCTCACAAGGAACTTGTCTGCAAGGCATCCCAGGAGGACACAAGTCCAAATGCCTGCTCAAAGCAGGGCTGGAGACACAGCAAGGAGAAGGCAACGCAGTGCCTGAGCCCCATTGCAACCCCAGCCTGGTGCCCAGGTGTGGAGAATCACAGAGTTCTTTCCTCACCTGGCTGCAGTGGCTCACCACTCTCTGGGAGTCTCTGTAGGATCCAGGGCAGCCCCTGCAGTCGCCTTTTGCCAAGACCGACCGGGCTCAAAGCCAGTGTGTGCCTGCTGGGCCAGGAGGTGCCCGGAGTCCTGGGCAGGATCCCGGCTGAGGGGAGCAGGAGCAGCAGCTCAACTCCTCTCTAGGAGAACAACTTGTGGAGGGACTACACTCTGCCTGTTGGGTCCAGCAGAGGCCAGGTGATGTTGTACAAATTTTAACATATCTGGCAAAAGGAGGAATCAGGTGTAGAGGGAAGAGGAAGGCAATGGCAAGAAGAGGCCAGGAGGAGAGGCCAGGCAATGTGGAGCCAGTCCTGCCTTGGCCCAGAATGGCTGAGCCCTGCGCAACTGCTTGGAAGGCAGCTCTGCCAAGCAATGCCCCACAGGGCTGCTGCAGCAGGTATCATGTGTAGAGGGAAGAGGAAGGCAATGGCAAGAGTTGCCTAAAGAGCTGGAGCCAAGCAGAATAAAAGGTGTTGGGTGAGGCTGCGTTGGAGAAAAAAGTGCCTTAGCAGAGGATGGTTTCGATCCATCGACCTCTGGGTTATGGGCCCAGCACGCTCCCGCTGCGCCACTCTGCTCCTCCTCACACCTGCCTGCCATTGCCCTCACCGCAGCCTGATGCTGCTGGACACTGCTGCCCCTCACTCCTTCCCTTCCTCTCTGCTCCGCCTCCCCCACCCCACAAAATACACCCCCTGACAAATTCAGCTCCCTTCAGCCTGCCCTCCACACCTCCTGGGCCTGGCCTTGCCCTTCTCCCACACCTCACGCACACAGCCCTGCACAGCCCCTTGCCCTTTCGCACCCACCCTGCCGCTGCACCTGCTCAGCGCACCCCCGCAGGCAGGCTGCAGCCTTGGGCCTTGCCATGGGTGAGGACACCTGAAATCCAGCAACCTCCTCACGCCTGCAGCCCTGCCCAGAAATCCACCTGTGCTCCCAGCACGCTGCACCACTGCGCCTGCCCGACACTTCAGATCTTTGCTGGCCAGGGAGGGACACGGCTCGCCTTTGCTTGCAATTGCTGGCAGAAAGAATTCTCCTGATTTCGCTGTGCAAATTCTGGTGCCTCAGCTCAGTGCTGCTCATGGTTACTGTGCAGTAAAAGCTCTGAGTTCTGGGCACTTGGTGCCAAAGCAGGTTGTCAAGTCGATGGCCCTTGCCTTTAACACTTGGTTAAAGCTACTGCAGGAGGATGTGTTAAAGCTACTGCAGGAGGATGAAATGCTCAGCTCCAGAAAATCAGAGCTCCACTCCAGGAGGATGCTGTCTGCATTTCTCCTTTCCTTCTTCATTGATGCTGACAAGGTCTCTGAGCTTCTTTTCTCTTGCGGTGCTTTCCCCACACCAAGTGGCTTGACCTTGCAGGGCACAGACCTTGCAGCAGCAATGGGCTTTTGTCCCCTGGGCGCTGAGCTCCCCCTGCCCTCAGGAAGGCCCTTCAGCAGGCAGCAGAGGCCAGGCTGCCAGCAGCTCCTCCCTCAAGCTGCCCGCAGCCCAAAAGGGGCGTGTGCCCGTAGTTGGCAGGATTCGAACCTGCGCGGGGAAACCCCAATGGATTTCTAGTCCATCGCCTTCACCACTCGGCCACAACTACCTGCTCCGGCCCTGCCCTGGGCCCTGCTCATCACACACCCTCTGACACCACACACACCCCCAGCCACTTCGCGACAAGGCTCCTCTTAACAACCACTGCTTGCCATTGCTTAAAAAATCACCGCCAAGGGGACCGCCAAAACACACAGTTCATACTCAAGGAAAGCACAACAAAGTTCCTTGGCAAGATTCACTCTCCTACTCACACCACACTTAAGGCACAACAAGATTAAACAAGCAACGACAAAACCAAACTCAGTCCAAGCAATCAAAACTGAAATTAACCAAGAACTACCTTGCAGAGTGTCGGGGTGTCCCTGTGTATGTGTACGTGTACGTGTGTCTGTGACAAAATGAGCGCAAGTATGAAAAGGCCTTTTAGCGGCCTGAAAGCTTGTCAGCATTCAAACTCAACTGCGTTTTAACTTAGCTTGTACCTTACACCTAATTAATATCTTACCCTTAAAATTTGACAGAGGAAAAACACTTAATACCATTTAACCTAACTTACAACTTCAAAGTAATACTTAGCAACTCAGCAAAAGAACAACACTAAGCAGCATTTAGGTAAGCCTGTATCTGCAACTTAACCTTACTGACAGGCCTCACGTACTGAGATCTCCAATGTACTTAAACAGCTAAGGAAGCAATATTTCTCCCAGATTTGCTATAGCAAATATATGCACACCTGCATGCGCACAGACATGAAGAGTCGGTACAAGCAATGTACCTGTGAAAAATTCCCCTCAGTGGTCAATGAAACGCTCTCTTTGGATGCCTTTGCATCTCCCAAAGGGGGAAGGGTCAGGCCTCAAGGAGTGAGGGTATCAGCCCGGGACTCATCCTTGTTGGACAATCCTCCAAGTAGAGCAACCCTGAGAGTTCACTGGCTGTGAGAGCCGTCCCACTCCGAGGGACATGGCTGGTCACAGCCTGCTGCAGTCCGGGAGAGCTCAAATGGTCTCATTTTGGACCACTCTTTATAGGGTTGTAAGAGAGTGGGCTTTAGTCATAACAAGGTTTCATCCTGGCCACAGTTTGTGTTGGCACTTTGAAGGTGTGACAATGGCAATGTTGTGGCATTCAGAAAACAAAAACATTTTCCAAGACCGTTTATTTTCGAGGGGTAGTTTCCATAGGTATAGCTACACACCTAAATACGGTGTGTGTGTGTGTGTCTGTGTTTCTGTGTGTCTGTGTGCAAGTGAGAGAGAGAATCGATAATGGTATGAATGTTGCACTGTGAATTTGAAATTAAGTCCTTGCTGGGACTGTGGACCCAGTGCTGCCAAACCCTTTTGCACCCTTTTACTTTTGTATCCGAATCCTTTGCACACCATACACTTCTGAATGCACAGTCTCCCTATAAAACATTAAACATTGATTTCAATTCAATATTCTATTAATGCTTCTTCCATTTAGTGAGTAACAGCGTGAACTTTGCTGACAAACTCTGCTGAAGCCACACTGCCTATGTCCAGGCATGAAAAGAAGTGCTTTTCTCCTTTCCAGCCCACAATCCTGTACTCACACCATTGACACGCCCCAACACCACTAATAGAGGATAGAAGAGGGATTTTGCTACGCTTTTGTGAAGAAGCTTTGACAGGAATGAAATGTTATTCAAAATATTAGTACAAACTCTCACAAGGAACAAATTGGCACCAGGCTCTGCAGGGCCGTGATCTCCAGGTTACAGACTCAAGCTCAGTGACGGAGGCTTTGGTGCTCTGGTGTAATTTCTGGGAGTTCTTAGTGCAGCTGCTGGTAAGCTCAGGGAAGCAGCCACTGCTCACCCGGGCAGAGCAGGTGGTAGGTGAGGGAGGAGGAGAACAAATGACCACGACTCTCCAGCAATGCTGCACAAAGGCTTTAATGAGAGGGAGCAAAAGCGGTGGCACAGAACAGAGAGCAAGGAACACGTGTGGGGGGCCAGGGAGGGCGAGAGATGGGCCCATTTGCCAAGGCCAGCGGGGATGATGCGGCGGCCTCAGCAGATCTGCCCGCAGCGGGGGAAAGGCAGACACAGGCCTGAGCCCCCCAGGCCAAGGGAGCCCCCAGAAGAGATGGGAACCCCCGCGGTGCTGAGGGAGCTGCCCACAGCAGCTGACAGAGAGGATCCCACGGCTGTGCTCTGAGGGAAGGAGGTGAGGATGGGGCCCGGCATGGTCACCACCACCGGCGAAGGCTCGATGTACACCGTGGAGTCGGCGCAGCGGGCCATGCAGGGCTCAGTGCAGCTGCTTGCAAGGGGGGTTGGGCCACCGGAGCCGCAGGGCCGTGGGGGACAGGGTCTGCAGCAAGACATCTCTCGGTGCAGGAGGCAAAGCTGCAACACAGAGCAGGGAGCACCAAGCAGCCTCAGCATCAGTCTGCCTCTCTGTCCCTCAGCTCTCCCCAGGGACGCATTTGCTCTTCAAAACACACTCTGTGCCTGCAGCTCCCACCACCCTCCTCGAGCCCTCCGAGTGGCACGGCACGGGAAGGCCGCCCCACTTCAGCAGTAGGACCCAGCACAGTGGCTTTAAGGCCCCTGTGGAAGGACTGGTCACAGCCCATCTCCAGAACAGACGTGGCTGTGTTAGACAATGTCCCGGGATGCACTGGCACATTTTGTCCCACCACGGCCGGTGCAAATTCTGCTGGGCACATCCCCCTGAGGCTGAGCCCCACTGATCCCCTTCTGCTGGAACAAAGCCCCCTCTTCCCAGCTGTGCCCAGCCAGCAGCATGGAAAGGCTGACGGCCCTCCACCAGTTCTGTGTCAGGGCCAAGCTGAGGCAGCCCCAGGATCAAGCCGGGCAGCCTCCATGGCAGCAGTTCAGCCCACAGGGAGGGATGGAGCGGACTCAGGCTTACCTCGTTCCTGGAGGAGAGGGAGGCCAGAGATGAGGATGCAGAGCCTGGAGCAGCGCAGCCTTTTATGCCGGGTCCCAGAGCCCTGTGGGGCCACAAACATTCCTTGTTTGTGAAACATCCAAACTCCTGGGAGTGGCCACTTGTGAGGCCTCGCTGCTGATGAGGTCCCTGCCTCTTTCATCTCAAATGTTGTTCTCCCACTTTGTACAACCCAATATCCTGCGATGACTCTTGTAATTACTTTGGGATGGAATGGACCTTAAAATCCTCTGGCTCCAGCCCCCTGAAACAGATTTTGCAGTTTCTCTGGACAACCAGTTCCAGTGTATCTCCCATCTCAGAGGAAAAGTTTAATTCCCAATACCGAATCTTAATATCCCTGCTTTTGGTTTTGAACTAGTAGCCCTTGACCCATCCCTCCACATCCCAACCAGGAATCCTTCCCTTTCTTAAATGAATGTCTCCTGGGAGCCTTCTCCTCTCCTCGCTACACAACCCCAACCCTCTCAGCTTGTCCTCACAGGCTGATGGCTCCAGCTGCCTGGTGCTCTTTGTGGCTCCTCTGGACCCACTGCAGCAGGTCCGTGTGTTTCTTAGGCTGTGACTCCTAGGGCTGAAGGCAGTACCCCAGGTATGGTGCCATGAGAGCCGAGTAGAGCAGGACAATCCCCTCCCTCGACCTGCTGGCCACACCACTCTGGATGCAGCCCAGAATTCGAGTGCATTTTTGCACTGAGCTGCTAGCAAGAAGTTCAGGTTCATGTTCAGCATTTCAACCACCAGAACCTGCAGGTCTCCCTCCACAGGGCTGCTCTCAGTCAACTCAAGGCCTAGCCTGTGTCCAGGTTTGGGATTGCCCTGACCTTGGCATTTGACAACTAGAGCACAGGCCTCAGCTTGGAAAACTGGGATCCTCTAGAAAACATGGAATTCAACACGTAGGAAGGTGATCAAAGACATGCCCAAATCTCTCCCTGAAAGACAAATTGACCCATTTTCTCAAACACAAATTGACCCACTTTGCTCAGTGTGTCCAGCCCTGACGTCAGCATCTGGATGGCAGCTTTGGGGAAGAGGCTGAGGGCAGAGAGCCCAAAGCTCATGGCTCCTTTTCCTGGGGCAGGCATCATTTGCCCATTCACCTAACATCACAGTTCAAAGGGATATTGGCTCAGTCTCCCACAGCTTGTGGGAATCACTGTGATGTGGAAGAGTTGGGAAAATCCAGGAGCTTCAGGCAAACCTGAATCATGCTGATGTGGAAATGAGTGCACCAGGTGCCCAGGACTCAGGCATTCCAAGGAT